ATAGCCTTTAACAGACTGTTGGGGCAAGTGCTGTTAGCGAGCACCTATGAAGGCCGACACAGCACACGAGGGGGTGGATGACAATCACCACGCGCGGCCGCCTTTGTCTCCCCAGTGGCGATGTTTTATACACATGGCACCAGGTACTCATTTGAGTCTGAGTTGACCTAGACATGCAAAAAAACAGATACACAAAAGTCAAAGATCCCCCGTATAGCCTTTAACAAACTGTTGGGGCAAGTTCCGTTAGCGAGTACCTATGAAGGCCGGCACGGTACGCGACAGGGTGGGTGGCCAACACCACGCCCGGCCGCCTTTGTCTCCCCAGTGGCGATGTTTACACACCGCGCCAGGTACCCATTTGAGGCTGAGTCGACCTAGGGGAGGCTCAGGACCGGTTCAGATAATCGTCAATGATGGTGTTGGCCGTGAGTGGGAATCGAACTCTGGCGGCCGGGTTCGTAGCGCAGCGTGCTAACCACCACACTACCGCTCCCCACAACAGATACACACAACAACAACAACAACCGCCATTCACCAGTAAGTGGCGGTGATGTCACCACGGCGCTTGTGCCAGGTTAGGTGCACGCTGAGGCCACGTGAAGTGTCGAACGTCCGCTGGCAGGAGGTCACGGGGCAGACTCAGGTGCCACGGTTTAGCAGTTGAACAGTTTATTTAGATAGAAAAATAAAATTTAAATAAGATATCACGACGTTTCGATAAAGCTTCAATTCACGAGTTTATTTAGAATTGCCCTGTGAGCTCAACAACTTTTGAGTCGGGTTTCATCAACAAAACAGCAAAAAACGGTAAAATTAGAAACACAACGTTTGCAACAGGTCGCATAAAATCGTTTTCTTGTCCTAACAACACGGTCCGACTGACTGAGAGGACCGACTTGAGATAACTGCCCGATGCACCGCCTGTGCCCCCCACTGTGTCAACTTACACACACAACAACAACCGCCATTCGCCACTAAGTGGCGGTGACGTTACCACGACGCTTGTGCCAGGACATGTGCACCTTGAGGCCACGTGAAGTGTCGAACGCCCGCTGGCAGAAGGTCACGGGGCAGACCCAGGTGCTACGGGTCGACTGACTGAGATGACCGAGATGACTGGTTGATGCACCACCTGTGCCCCCTACTGTGCCAACTTGCTGTGCTTTAGCCACCCGGCGCTCCGCTCGTTGTTGTGAGTGTCGCTCCTCCGCCCTCCGTTGTTGCTGGAGGGCGACTGCCTCCAACTGCCCAGTAGCGTCCTTCACGAGCCTCCTCCACAGAGGCCGATCTTGACACTGCTGGTACCAGTCATCGGCAAGTCCACTCAGCTCCACGTCCTCCTGTACCACATCACTCCATCTCTTCTCTAGCCCGTGACGCGCCCGTTTAGCCCCCTCAATCCGGCCGAACAAAAGCTGTTTAGGCATGCGGTGGCTGGGCATGCGGGCTACATGACCCAGCCAACGCAGCCTTACCTGCCGGAGGAGCTCACCGATGGGACTTTGCCCAGATCTTTCAAGGATTTGTGAGCTCCTCACACAATCCAGCCTGGTTAAACCCAGGATGGATCGTAGGCAGGCCAGCCTAAATGGTTCCAACCCGGCGAAGATGCTCCATTAGGGGGGTCCACGTTTCGCAAGCGCTATCACACACACTATCACACACACGCACGCGCACTCACACAAATCCGCACGCTCTCCCACACACGCACAAATCCCAGTGCCGCCGCATTTTTGATCTCCACATTCCGGCGGTGTCTTTATAAGGACAGCTCGGGCGAATTTGAGCATCACTGCCGTTCCACAACGCACAACGCCTGCGCGGTCTTCGTAAGGTGCTGCTCGTTCACGACACTTGCCCCAACAGTCTGTTCAGGCTACACGGAGTATGTGTGCGTGCAATTACGAGACCGTGCACCACGTGTGCACACGCGTGCGAGGTTTTTGCACGTGTGTGTGTGCGCACGTGTACATATACATGCTCGCGTGCGTACATATTGCAGTGATTCACGAAACGAGGATCTCGTGATTTGCATCTCACAACAAACACGCACGAGGGCGCGACTCGTCACGCGTGTGCGTGACTCGATGACACCGCCATCGCCGGCAACCGACGGCCGCTCTGCGCACAATTCTCACACGCAACGCGCACAATGACAGTGTACACACACACACACAATACACACGACACAGACACACACACACACAGACACACAATACACACGACACACACACAATACACACAACACAGACACACACAATACACACAGCACAGACACACACAATACACACAACACAGACACACACAATACACACGACACAGACACACACACAATACAAACGACACAGACACACACACAATACAAACGACACAGACACACACCACAGACATATAATACACACAAAACAGACACACACAATACACACACACACAATACACACGACACAGACACACACAGCGAATATTACCCATAGCTACACGCAGAGCCGACGCCTGCAAACAAAACCGGAAGTCTTACATCTGACACCGTAACATCGACGCGCGCCCCCCCTCCACCCCCCCCCCCAAAACGCGGGGCCCGGGGCAGTCGCATCATATTCGCCGTACGCCCAGGACGGCTCTAGCTACAACCGCCGCTACAGTATGTAGCGGTCGGCACCGCCGGAATTGCAATCCAGACGTCGCCGGTTCGATTCGACCTGGCACCGCTGCGGTTGGAACTATGGGGGGCACGTTTCTTAAACCCACCCCCCTTCCCTCGCCCTGCCCCTGACCCCCACGCCCGTCTCTATCCAGCCATCGGCGAGTTGATCGGCAGGCCGCATCTGGAGGGATTAAGATGTGGGTACTGACACATCTTCATAGACGTCTGCCCAGCGTAGTCGGCCGGACGAGTCGGCCGCCAAAAATACCCAAATGGAGGTCCCCTTTGGAGCTCCCTCTCGTGGAGGCCATTCCGGCAGCAGTGGGGGTGAGCGCAACAATTGCAGGGGCTGCACCTGAACCTCTCAGTGCATACCAGGCACCAAGACGCACATCCCGCACTCATTCACTGTAACACCGCCGTCTCCCCTTCCTGCCCCCCCCCACCCAAGTCTTCCTCCACCTCCTCCCTCAACCCCACCTCACCGCGCTCGCCTTGAGATTTCCTGGAGCAAAGGAAACGCGACACAACACAAGGGGTTCTATTTGAGGAGGGGAAGCGGCGTCGGCGAGAGGGAGGCCGAGATCTGCCGAGCATCGTGGCCCCGGCTAGATGAGAGGCGATTCATTCATTGCCAGAGACACCGAACCAAACCCCAGCCCGTTAAAAACAAAAACTGGGTTCTAGATTTGAAGCTTTCGTGACTGCAAGGATTCATACTCTTAGGTTTTTTTCGGTAAAGTCACCTAGGTAAAAATAAATATTAAAATAATATTAATAATAATAGAAATAAAATGATAAATCACGACGTTTCGGAGGCAACACAAGTCTCCGTCATCAGGTGGGACCGTCACAGCTAAATTGATGCAGTAAATTGATGCAGTAAATTTATCTGTGACGGTCCCACCTGATGACGAAGACTTGTGTTGCCTCCGAAACGTCGTGATTTATTATTTTATTTCTATTATTATGAAAAATATTATTTTATTATTTATTTTTTCCGACGTGACTTTACCGAAAAAAACCTAAGAGTATAAAAACTGGGTTCTCAAGCGCAGTGAGTTTCATGTGAGTCTACGTTGAACTTCTTTCGCGCCGTACCTAGCCAACCGTGCCAATCGGAGGTGCGGGGGAAGGACAATAAACTAAAGGCTGCCGAGTTGATGGCTACAAAATAAGCAACCTCGTGGATTGTAACTGAATTTCCGACGCTTTAAACAACCTTGGGTTGATTGGCACGTGGCACGCGCTCTCCATCGGCCACACGGAGCTCGGCTGAAGAGACTTCAGAAATAGTTCACCGACATCGCCTTCTGCGGCCGTTGCTGCTACACACAGTGGTGCACTGCTTGCTGCGAGAGTTCCCAAGGGATATTTCTTCCATTTCATGACCCGACTCCGATAGCGTCGATGGGAATACAATTGATAGAGCGTGCATTTACTGACCAAAGCCCCTTAGCTGCTGAGGTTGTAGTTTTGAGTCCAGACCCCAATCACACTCACAAGGTTAATTGTAAAACAATGGTGTCGACTATTGCCACCTGTCCGGGTATTGGTTTGTGTGTTCGGGTGGCAGCGGGAATTGGTTTGTATCAAGATCTTGTAACGATATTGCTGTGTAGAATTGTATTGCAGTTACCGGCATAGTTTTGATAACAGACCGAGAGCTGACTTCGGGCTCTCTCCGGGTTTGGTCTACAGTGGAAAGGATATCAACCCTGGGTCTCAATCTGAGTGGGATGATTATGAAGTTGACAATGATGACCATGCAGTGAACTTTACACTGCAGCCTTGATAGACCTAGGCCGACTGAAAAACACGTCAGGGTTTGGTCTCACGAGGAAACGATGGCCGAGCCGAACAGGCGCTCACTCCCACGTGGCAACGAAGACTTCGACGGACTTCCTAGCGAAGACCAAATGGAAATAATCCCAACATTCGACATCTCGTGAAACCAGGGTGGGGGGAGGAGCGGGGGTGCGGATGGTACGGAGCCTGTCATGGAATTCGGGCAAGACGTGAAGGCCGCGGCGGTTTGACAGCATCGGGCTTCAAGGCCGACTCGAGGTCACGTTGTCAGCTCGTGACCTCGAAGTGCGTGGCCTCTGTCGACGAAGTGGCTTAGCGAGGACAGCAGCCTTGACACTGTGCCACAGCCTAAAAAAGGCTCTCATATCGTCCTCAATAAAGCAGGGATTGGTGCGCGTTGCGGCAGAAAGGGAGCGGGCACGGGGTCGGCAGCAGAGCAATAGAAACGAGAGAAAACAAGAAACCCGTCACGACATCAACCTCGCCCTCCCCCCTCGAGGTCTGTCCGCAGGGCTTCGTTGCCCACAAGAGGCCACTCACTCACCTGCACGATCTCCAGCATCTCGGCCCGGCTGATGTAGCCGTTGCCGTCCAGGTCGTACATGCTGAAGGCCCACTTGAGCTTCTGCTCGAGCTTGCCGCGCGACGTCACGCTCAGCGCGATGATGAACTCGCGGAAGTCGATGGTGCCGTCGCCGTTGGCGTCGAAGGTGCGGAACACGTGCTCGGCGAACTTGGACGCGTCGCCGTACGGGAAGAAGTTGCCGTAGATCTTCTTGAACTCGTCCACCGTGAGGCTGCCGCTGGGGCAGTCCTTGAGGAAGCCCTTGTACCACTCCTGCAGCTCGTGCTCCGAGAACTCGGTGTTCTCACGCAGGTCCTGCAGCACCTCCGGCCGCAGCTTGCTGTTCTGCTTGCCCATCGCCTGCTGATGCTGATCCTGCTGCTGATCCTGCTGCTGTTGATGATGATGATAGCTGCTGCTGATGCTGATGACACTGCAGCCACTATAGCTGCTGCTGCTGTTGATGATGATGATAGCTGCTGCTGATGCTGATGACACTGCAGCCACTATAGCTGCTGCTGCTGTTGATGATGATGATAGCTGCTGCTGATGACACTGCAGCCACTATAGCTGCTGCTGCTGCTGTTGATGATGATGATGATAGCTGCTGCTGATGCTGCTGCTGCTGTTGATGCTGATAATACTCCTGCCACTATATCTGCAACGGCGATTGATCCTGCTGCTGATACTGATCCTGCTGCTGTTGATATCACTGCAACCACTATAGCTGCTGCTGCTGTTGATGATGATGATAGCTGATGCTGCTGATGCTGCTGCTGCTGTTGATGCTGGTAATACTCCTGCCACTAAAGCTGCAACGGCGATTGGTTCTGCTGCTGTTGATGATACTGCTGCTGATCCTCCTGCTGCTGCTACCGTTGCTGTTGCTACCGCTACTCTTCCTGCTGTGGAAAGTGCTGCTGCTGTTGCGGCTGCTGACGCTCAATGATGATGCTGCTGCTGATGCTGCTGCAGCAAATACAATTGCTGCTTTTTTCTGCTGGTACTAACACTGCTGCTGCTGCTGATGATGATGATCTTACTGGCAATGTTACTGAAGCTGCAAGTGATACAGCTGCTGCTGCGGCTCCTAACGCTGTTGCAGCCCTCCCTCCTGTTGTTGTGGCTGCTGTTGCCACAGTTGCCTCTATCCCTGCTTCTTAAGCCGTCTTCTTGCTGCTCTTTCAACAGTTGACGGCCACCGCTGCGGTTGCCAGCAGCCGACCTCGCAACAAGACCAACCGACACGTGTCACTGCTGCTGCTGCTGCATCTATCTGCTGCCCGTGGATTCACTGCTGCACTCGCTGCTTTCTCCTTCAGTAGATAATGTCCCTGCTGCTGCTGATGCTGCCCATCAAACGCAGCTCCTGCAGCACAGAGAAGGCAGCGTTAACAACCGCGCGGCCAAATGCACGCGACCAGGGTTTGTCACCGAAATGGGCACAGGCTGCTACACGCAGGGGAACAACAGCAATAGATCAACAGGCTTAAAGCACCTGTAGGATTTCTCAGGGTTCGGTGTTATGGCATGAGGATCACAGAGTCAGGCTAAGGCATCTGGATGATTCTCAGGGTTCAGTGTTATTGCATGAGGATCACAGAGTCAGGCTAAGGCATCTGTATGATCCTCAGAGTTCAGTGTTATTGCATGAGCATCACAGAGTCAGGCTAAGGCACTTGTATGATTCTCGGGGTTCAGTGTTATTGCATGAGGATCACAGAGTCAGGCTAAGGCACCTGGATGATTCACAGGGTTCAATGTTGTTGCATGAGCATCACAGAGTCAGGCTAAGACATCTGTATGATTATCGGGGTTCAGTGTTATTGCATGAGGATCACAGAGTCAGGCTAAGGCACCTGGATGATTCACAGGGTTCAGTGTTGTTGCATGAGCATCACAGAGTCAGGCTAAGACATCTGTATGATTATCGGGGTTCAGTGTTATTGCATGAGCATCACAGAGTCAGGCTAAGACATCTGTATGATTATCAGGGTTCAGTGTTGTTGGTTGCATGAGCATCACAGAGTCAGGCTAAGACATCTGTATGATTATCAGGGTTCAGTGTTGTTGGTTGCATGAGCATCACAGAGTCAGGCTAAGACATCTGTATGATTATCAGGGTTCAGTGTTGTTGGTTGCATGAGCATCACAGAGTCAGGCTAAGACATCTGTATGATTATCAGGGTTCAGTGTTGTTGGTTGCATGAGCATCACAGAGTCAGGCTAAGGCATCTGTATGATTATCAGGGTTCAGTGTTGTTGGTTGCATGAGCATCACAGAGTCAGGCTAAGGCATCTGTATGATTATCAGGGTTCAGTGTTGTTGGTTGCATGAGCATCACAGAGTCAGGCTAAGACATCTGTATGATTATCAGGGTTCAGTGTTGTTGGTTGCATGAGCATCACAGAGTCAGGCTAAGACATCTGTATGATTCACAGGGTTCAGTGTTGTTGGTTGCATGAGCATCACAGAGTCAGGCTAAGGCATCTGTATGATTATCAGGGTTCAGTGTTGTTGGTTGCATGAGCATCACAGAGTCAGGCTAAGGCATCTGTATGATTATCAGGGTTCAGTGTTGTTGGTTGCATGAGCATCACAGAGTCAGGCTAAGACATCTGTATGATTATCAGGGTTCAGTGTTGTTGGTTGCATGAGCATCACAGAGTCAGGCTAAGACATCTGTATGATTCACAGGGTTCAGTGTTGTTGGTTGCATGAGCATCACAGAGTCAGGCTAAGGCATCTGTATGATTATCAGGGTTCAGTGTTGTTGGTTGCATGAGCATCACAGAGTCAGGCTAAGACATCTGTATGATTATCAGGGTTCAGTGTTGTTGGTTGCATGAGCATCACAGAGTCAGGCTAAGACATCTGTATGATTATCAGGGTTCAGTGTTGTTGGTTGCATGAGCATCACAGAGTCAGGCTAAGACATCTGTATGATTATCAGGGTTCAGTGTTGTTGGTTGCATGAGCATCACAGAGTCAGGCTAAGACATCTGTATGATTATCAGGGTTCAGTGTTGTTGGTTGCATGAGCATCACAGAGTCAGGCTAAGACATCTGTATGATTATCAGAGTTCAGTGTTGTTGGTTGCATGAGCATCACAGAGTCAGGCTAAGGCATCTGTATGATTATCAGGGTTCAGTGTTGTTGGTTGCATGAGCATCACAGAGTCAGGCTAAGTCATCTGTATGATTATCAGGGTTCAGTGTTGTTGGTTGCATGAGCATCACAGAGTCAGGCTAAGACATCTGTATGATTATCAGGGTTCAGTGTTGTTGGTTGCATGAGCATCACAGAGTCAGGCTAAGACATCTGTATGATTATCAGGGTTCAGTGTTGTTGGTTGCATGAGCATCACAGAGTCAGGCTAAGACATCTGTATGATTATCAGGGTTCAGTGTTGTTGGTTGCATGAGCATCACAGAGTCAGGCTAAGACATCTGTATGATTATCAGGGTTCAGTGTTGTTGGTTGCATGAGCATCACAGAGTCAGGCTAAGGCATCTGTATGATTCACAGGGTTCAGTGTTGTTGGTTGCATGAGCATCACAGAGTCAGGCTAAGACATCTGTATGATTATCAGGGTTCAGTGTTGTTGGTTGCATGAGCATCACAGAGTCAGGCTAAGACATCTGTATGATTATCAGGGTTCAGTGTTGTTGGTTGCATGAGCATCACAGAGTCAGGCTAAGACATCTGTATGATTATCAGGGTTCAGTGTTGTTGGTTGCATGAGCATCACAGAGTCAGGCTAAGACATCTGTATGATTATCAGGGTTCAGTGTTGTTGGTTGCATGAGCATCACAGAGTCAGGCTAAGGCATCTGTATGATTATCGGGGTTCAGTGTTATTGCATGAGCATCACAGAGTCAGGCTAAGACATCTGTATGATTATCAGGGTTCAGTGTTGTTGGTTGCATGAGCATCACAGAGTCAGGCTAAGGCATCTGTATGATTATCGGGGTTCAGTGTTATTGCATGAGCATCACAGAGTCAGGCTAAGGCATCTGTATGATTATCAGGGTTCAGTGTTGTTGGTTGCATGAGCATCACAGAGTCAGGCTAAGGCATCTGTATGATTATCGGGGTTCAGTGTTATTGCATGAGCATCACAGAGTCAGGCTAAGACATCTGTATGATTATCAGGGTTCAGTGTTGTTGGTTGCATGAGCATCACAGAGTCAGGCTAAGGCATCTGTATGATTATCGGGGTTCAGTGTTATTGCATGAGCATCACAGAGTCAGGCTAAGACATCTGTATGATTATCAGGGTTCAGTGTTGTTGGTTGCATGAGCATCACAGAGTCAGGCTAAGGCATCTGTATGATTATCGGGGTTCAGTGTTGTTGGTTGCATGAGCATCACAGAGTCAGGCTAAGGCATCTGTATGATTATCGGGGTTCAGTGTTGTTGCATGAGCATCACAGAGTCAGGCTAAGACATCTGTATGATTATCGGGGTTCAGTGTTGTTGCATGAGCATCACAGAGTCAGGCTAAGACATCTGTATGATTCACAGGGTTCAGTGTTCTTGGTTGCATGAGCATCACAGAGTCAGGCTAAGACATCTGTATGATTATCAGGGTTCAGTGTTGTTGGTTGCATGAGCATCACAGAGTCAGGCTAAGGCATCTGTATGATTATCGGGGTTCAGTGTTGTTGCATGAGCATCACAGAGTCAGGCTAAGGCACCGTGTAGCCTTTACAAGATTTTTGGGGGCAAGTGCTGTTAGCGAGCACCTACGAAGGCCGGCAAGGCACACGAATGGGTGGGTGACCAGCACCACACTAGGCCGCCTTTTCTCCCGAGTGGCAATGTTGACAACACCACACCAGGTACTCATTTGAGGCCGAGGTGACCCAGGGGATGCCCAGGACCGATTCAGAGCATCGTCACTGGTTATGGCCGTGAACGGGAATGGATCTCGGGTCGCCGGGTTCGTTTGCGCAGCGCGCTGACCGCTACACGACCTCTCCCCGACACACGCACTTACGTACACACACACACACGCAGTCACGTACACACACAGTCACGTACACACGCACACACGCAGTCAAGTACACACACACACGCACTCACGTACACACACACACGCAGTCACGTACACACACACACGGGCACACATGGCACGCACGGCGCGTGCACGTGGAAACACAGCGAGCGGGTGACGGAAGCTGCCCTCCCCCCAGCACCTCCCCTCCACCCCCCCTTAATCTGCCCACAGAGGCACCCCGATTAGGCGAGAGTCGTCCAATTTTGGAGCTGGAGGGTGGGGGGTGGGGATGGGTGATTCTGGGTGCCATCGTGGGCAGGAGACAGGGTGGGGACGGTGCTGTGGGATAGACGGAACCGCGGGGTGAAATGCGCCCTAATGATGCGGGTTGCCGGGGAAACGGAAAAAAAAGAAATCCCAATTATTGGGCACCCGGAGGACAGCGATGCGACAGGGACCACCGCCACCGCTGCTGCTGCTGCTCAATTGTGTCCGGTTGCGCGAACTCTGAGTGGTGGCGAGAGTGGTTGGTGGGTGACGGGCGAGACTGCTGGAGAGTGGAAATAGTGGCCCGAGATACGAATTGTGAGTTGCGTTGAATCGGAACGAACTCACACTCTGAATAGATGTTACACACAAAGACAAAGGAGCCCCCTCCCCCCCCCAGCTGCCACCCCTCTCCTGTATAGCCTCTAACAGGCTATTGGGGCAAGTGCTGTTATCGAGCAGCAGTGGGTGGTGTGGTCAGGACCACGCCCGGGCTGTCTTTGTCTCTTTAGCGCCCATGTTTAGACTCGACATTTGGTAGTCGTTTCACGCTGAGTCGACCTAGGGGAGGTGCAGGACCGGTTCAAATATTCACCGCTGTCATTGGTCGTGAGTGGGGATTGAACTCGGGTTGCCGAGTGCGTGGCGCAGTGTGCTGACCACTGCACCACCGTTCCCCATTCACACACACTCATCCACCCATTCACTCATTCATTCACACTCATACACACACACTCATTCACACCCCCACACACTCACCCACACACACCCACACTCATCCACACACCCACACTCATCCACACACCCACACTCATCCACCCATCCTCATCCACACCCATCCACACCCACCCACACACCCATCCACACACCCATCCACACCCACACTCATCCATCCACACCCACCCACACGCACACACACACTCATCCACAACCACACTCATCCACACCCATCCACACCCATCCACACACCCACCCACACACTCATCTATATAAACACACGCGGGATAATGTGTCTCTGAACAAAGCACCGTGGAACGAATCCACGTGGCACTCGGCTCTGGCCATGGGCGTCGTTAATGGACGTGGTCACCGCGGCT